TGTTCTCGCTCAGCAGGTTTGTTGAATCTTCTTCAGTCTCCAGGAGGGATGAAGACTCATCAAACCTCCTCAGAGACGGAACTTCCTCTGGTTGTGTTGTTTGAGTGAATGTTCGTGTTGGAGCTGCAGAAATAAACTGTTTTCACAACAAATTCACGTTTTTCTTTAAAGTAACAAAATCTTTACAACTCGTTCCAGGTGTGCGTGTAAGCAGTTCTATTCCTATAGCAAGTCGGAAGCTGAGCCAGGTGGTGCAGAGGAGGAGTGCCTGTGGGGCGTATGCGAGTTTAGTGAGAGAGTCGGTGTTTGGACGTTTCACGTGCACACACGCGCGCGCCCGTGGGTCTTATCAAGACTGGATTTAAATGACAGGCTCTGGCTGCGTTGTCCCAAAAGAAATGCAAAAATGTGACGCGGACCTGCCGCCGCGCTGCGGGTACAAGACAACCCGCTGATCCACCATGACGGCGCTCCAGCGCGTCGTGCGCAGACTCACCTGCCCACGAGCCCACGGAGCGGTAAGACACCTGTCCTCTTGTCTCTGCGTGTCTCCGTGACGGAACTTTGTTGAAAGTGAGCCCATCACGCGCCACGCTCGGTTTGTGACGGGACAGGCGCGTTTGGAGGAGACGAGCTATAACCGTGGCATGGCACGCGGAGGAGTGTCGGCTGGCTGGTGCACGTGCGGTCACCTTTCAGCTGTCGATAACCTCAAGTCATCGTGATTATTAGGAAAAAGTTGGAAAAACTCAGTTCACACTTTCACTTTCAATTTGAACTCTTGGCTCCGCCCCCTTTCCCTCTGACCGCTCGTTGCTGCCGTTAAATCTTTGAAAGTTATAAGTTTATTAGGAACCCTTCACCGTGACGGGGTTTTAGGTTGGATAATAAATATTTGGGCTCCAGGATCCAGCGGTGTCTTCCTCTCGTTCAGTCCGATGCAGGCAGCCTGAGCTCGGGCAGCTGCGCTTACTCTGCCCGGTTCACTTAGGGACCGTCAACAAATTACCACAACAAAATCTGATGAAAAACAAAATGAACAGCTTTCACATCAAGCGATCCCCGACACAAAACTAATGTTAAATTACTAGGGACAGATGACGCACACACATTTTCATCTGATTTTAACGCAGTTTCTATTTTTACATAATGTTTTTGTTCAATATTTATAGTTTTCTTTCCATAGCTTTCACGTAATGTAACCCACTGACAAAACTAATGTAAATCCCTCTGCTAGAAGGGACAGATGAGACACAGGCATTATCTGATTTTAAAGCATTTTTATATTAAAAAAATAAAAATCTGTTCAAAATCTATGGTTTTCTTTCCATAGCTTTCACGTCATGTGACCCACTGACACAAAACTAATGTTAAATTACTAGGGGCAGATGACACACACATTTTTTATCTGATTTTACTGCATTTTCTATTTTTACATATATTTTTTGTTTAATATTCATGGTTTTCTTTCAATAGCTTTCACATCGTGTGACCCACTGACACAAAACTAATAAGGCAAGCGTTCTGGCGGGCGGGCGGCCAGGAGACCGTCTTGGACATGACTGGCGTCCACCTGGAACCTCTCCGACTCTGGCTGATGAGAGGTGAAGAAACCACTGGGGAGACTGTGGCTGCTGGTGAAGAGACCGCTGGACCGGCTGTTTCCATGGATACCAATGATGAGAGCTGCAGGCAGCAGCAAGTTCGTCGAGGGATCTGTGGCTGGAGATGGAACCAGCAGATAAGCAGGAGGCTTGGGACCCACAGGAGGCGAGGACGGCAGGACTGCTGCAGGGTATGACCCCAGGAGATGCAGAACGGAGGCTGTTGCCCCCGACACCCACCAAGAGGCATGGAGGAAAAGGGTCATCATGGGCCGAGATGGTGTAGGGGCAGGGCAGCCGACTCGGGACCCAAAGGTCCTGGGTTCGATCCCCGGTCATTGCACATCTCATGGTGTCTCTGGGCAGGACACCCAATCCCAACTTGCTCCCCGGGCACTTGCATAGCTGCCCACTGCTCCATCTGGGTGTATCCCAGGTGCGATGGGTTAAATGCAGAGAACTAATTTCATCTTTGTTTGGGAACACACAGTGATGACAACACATAGCACTTTATTTATTCATATTTATTATTCCCGACATCCACGGAAAGGCTCAGAGGAAAAGGGTCGTCCTTACCGACGCACATGGACACACAGGAACATGGAGCGTCATGGCTGACTGCTCTAGGGTGGAGGGAGGGGCTGGAGGGAGGGGCTCGAGTTCGGCGTATCCGATCCAGTTCCGACGTCGGTCCCTTCTATGGCACAGATGAGGGGGAAGACGAGGAGGAGCAGTGGGTTGCCCTCCTCCCCTGGATGACAACTGGGAAACTCAGAAGGTAAGCGGGGGCGCAGAGGGTAATGAGGTGCTGGAGAGGAGTGAGACGGTGGATAGGAGTAAACAAGCCTGAAAGCCAAACCCTGAACTGAGATCTCCTCCTCTTCCTCCACCAAGAGAGGGGGTGGGAGAATCTCAACCTCCCGGCTGCAGCGTCTTCGTCTCGGGGCAGGTCTGGATTCTTCCAGAAACTGTCCCACCGGGTGACGGACTTCGCCTCCTCTCTCTCTCTCTTTGCTCCTGGTCCCGCTGGGCAGTGTTTTCTGCTTCGTGATTTTAAGTGTTGAACCCACGTGCAGGCAGAATACACGAGACTTCCAGGTACAAATACGTAATTCAAATAAATTTTTACAAAACAAAAGCAGCAAAAACTGACTTTTAGGGAGATGACAGAGGAACAGAACATGAGGACAATCCACGGACAAATGAGGGGACACAGAGACACGGAATAAATGGAGACTGACGAGACAGGATGACAAACACCTGGGGTGATTAGACACAGGTGAGACAGGAGCTGAACCACCAGGAGGAGGAACACTGAGGGACATGAAGCATGAGGACACAGAGAAGACGAGACCTAACCCAGAACCCCCCAGTTATCATCACGCAGTTCAAAGGCCTGCTTTTCTGATGAGTGCACACGACAGGAGCGGCTCACACGTCTGAGTCCAGCAAGTTGTCTAGATACTGGACAACACGTCCAGCAAAGGAGACCCAGGACTGGTTCTGCTGGAATTCTAACCAGGAATGAAACGAACGGTTCCTCCAGCAGCTGCTTTCTTTAAAGGAAGAGGGGGATGCTTCACAGTGACACTGCCCCATCACGTTTTACATGTGCTGCTGCCATAAAATATACCCCCCCCCCCCAAAAAAAAACAAAAACAAAACAACAACCAGGGACAACTCATTAGTTTCAACATCTGATATATTTCTATGTTCTAAAGTGCACAAACAAACAAACAAACAAAACGTTAGAGACTTTCCATTTACTGCTTTCTGTTTAACGTACGTTTCCCAGCACACCAGTCTTCACAGAACGGGGGTTGACGCAGTACCAGCTCTTGAAAATGATAAATGCATTATTTGTTGAAGTAGAAATGATTCATTAACACTGGAGACAAGTAATTTATACTTTATGCACATTAAGAAGGGGTCATTGTGTGAAAATAATCAGCTCCTAAAACGTCAAACATCTGTCCGATGCTTCTCAAGTACTTTTTACTTTCCACCACAGGCGATGACTGTCGAGATGAACTGCCAGGTCTTTTCCAAAGTTCAGCAGACGATGACGTGTAAAGTCAGAGTAATAAAGAAAACTTTAAAAAACTCTCAGATTTAGTTTTAAGGCAACAAAGATGTGATGAAATCGCTCCGATGACTAAATAATCCATAATTTAATCCATAGAAATTGACAAATTTAGTCATTTTAGTTTAGTCTAATTGTTGGTGTGATTTGAAATGTTTTGGAAGAACCTCATCTTCTTCATCATCCGCCTCATCTGACACCAGTTTTATGTCATAATGATGCAATAACGAATGACGCACTAATGTTTCCATCTTTTTTTTAGAAAAGCGTGCACTTGCAGCTGACCTTTGACCTGTGCCAA